GATTTTGTCCCTTGAATTCGAAAACCAATTCTATGAGTTACAAGAAAGCATGACATGGTTGCTGTTCAGTTGTTTCAGTCGTATCCAACTCTCCGTGACCCCATTTGGTGTTTTCTTGGCAAAGATACTGCAGTGATTTGCCATTTCCCTCTTCAGCTCATTTTACAGATGAGGAAATTGAGGCAAACAGGGAGAAATGACTTGCCCAAAGTCACAAAGCTAGTAGGTGTCTGAGGCCAGATTTGAACTCAGGAAGAGGAGTCTTCCTGACTCCAGGGCCAGCATTTTATCCAACACACCACCCATCTGCCCTAAATTCGAATCCCTTCTCTTCCCCTTTCTCCCCATGTGACCTAGGGCAGATTATTTCTCTGGGTCTCAGTTTCCTAACTGGTAAAATCAGGGGGCTGGACAAGCTCGCCTCCAGCTCTAAATCGATGGTCCTATGAACAAGCATTTCTTCATTCTGTGGAGGAGAGAAGAAAGGGAAATAGTGTCCAGGTCCCTTCTGCCACTGCTTGCAGGAAGACCTTTCTGAAGCCTTCTCTCCCCAGGACTTTACACAAAGCAGGAGTTTAATCCATGTCTGTGGAAGAAGATTGATTTGACTTCAAGGACAAGACAGGAGAGAGGAGAGAAGTTTTTCAGGACCACAGATTTAGAGCTAGAAGGGACCTCAGAGATCATTCACTGCACCCTATCCCTCTCCCCATTTTACAGATGAGGAAACTGGGGACCAGTGGACTCTTAGCTTTTGACCTGGATTCAGAGATCACCTAGCCCTAACCTTTCATTCTACATCAGAAGAAACTGAGTCCTAGAGGAGTTGAGACAGCTAGTAAATGGAAGAGTCAGGATTTCAATCTAGGCCCAGTGCCCCCAAGTCCAGCGAGCTCTCCACTCTATGCTGGAACACATCTCTTTGTCCAGGATTATCCCTGAAATCATTTATTGAAGTGACACCTGGTCCTCTAACCAGAATACCCAGAGGCAGAGAGCTGGCTCTAGGCAGGATTGGGAGGCAGAAGAGCCAGGCTTGGGGGGCGGGGCACTCTCACTTCCCCCTTAGGCTTCCCTGTCCTGGGAATTCTTAAAACACCTCTCCAGGATCTGGCCCTTTGGACAGGGGCCCATGACCTGAAATCATTCTGCATCCCTCCTGTAGCTCCCCTCAGCTTAGGACCATGAACTGAATTATAGAGAGAAGGGAGCAGATCTAGCAGAGAGGCAGAGAGCAAACAGCACCAGGTTTGATGCCAAAGGGTCTGGATTGGAATGCACAAGTCTCTGGCAGAAGGAAGGGGCTTTTAGCCTTCTCTACACATATTGCTGCTTCCAAAGGGGGCGATGCTGCTGTCACAGGGAAGGTGTAGCCCTGGCCCACAATCAATTGATATGCAGTTATTAGGAGCCAGGCATATAGAGAGAAAACTGAAGATGATCCTTACCTTCTACTGGAGGAGAGAGCCTGTACATCTATACCAAATATTACTCCTCTCTCGATGGATAGAATATTACCTTGAGTCATGAACACCTGGGTTCAGATCCTGCCTTTGACGCATATGGGTTTGTGATCCTGGGCTGAGATCACTTAACCTTCGTGTTCCAGGCAATTCTAAGGGGAGAAGGGGTATATCTTCCTCATCACCACCAGCAACAGTTGCTGACAGGTTACCGCTACAGGCAAGGGAGGCTCAGGAGCCCTGGAAGGGGCAGCTACCCCAAGACCACCAGTCCAGACCAGCCCTCAGAGTCATTATCTGGACAAAGAAGTCCTGTGGGGAAGGGGCTGGCCATCCCTAACAACTGCTGAGCGTCAGCATGCACCGGGCAGAGGTGCCAGGCTAGCCACATCAGCAAGGCCCCCCAGTGGTGAGACAGGATGTAGCATGTGCCAACAAGTCAGAACAGTATCGCAGCCTTGACTGCCATCTCCCCTCAGACTGTAGGGGAGACAGCCCAGGGCCCTGAGCCTGGCTTCCCGCCCAGTGTCCTCAGCGTCAGCTTGGGAAGCAGCCCCTTGGAGACATAGCCTGGCAACAGCTCTGGGATGTCCACAGAGACTGAAGCCCTGGAAGGGAAAGCCCTGGCCACCGAAGCCCTTGGCCCTGTCCTGTCTCAACATCTCAAACAGATGTGATTTTATCGGTGGAGATGACATTAGAGAAGAGGCCTGGCAATCACTGGCAATCACGAGACTTCTATCTGAACGGCAGATGAAATCTCCATTAGAATGGGAGCTGCTTGAGGACAGGGAGTGCCCTGGCAGCTAGGGGGCGCCACAGTGCTCAGAGAGCTGGGCCTGGAGTCAGGAAGACCTGAGTTCAAATCCAGCCTGACACATACTAGCTGTGTGACCCTGGGCCAGTCACTTAACCTCGTTTGTCTCAGTTTCCTCATCTGTAAAAAGAGCTGAGAAAGAAATGACAAACCACTGCAGTATCTTTGCCAAGACAACCCCAAATGGAGTCAAAGAGAGTCAGGCTTAAGTGCTTGTTGAATGAACAAATTTCTGGTACGTGATTTCATTTCTCTGGACCCCAATTTCCTCATCTATGAGATAATGGCAATGGTAATCCCCGTCCGGCTTTTTTCCCAGGCTGGCTCTTGGACAGTCCCCCGTGAGATCCTGTCTACGCATAAGTCTTCCTCATTACAGACAGGCACCAGGCTGAGGGTTGTCTAATAGCATAACAGGGGCTTTAGATGACAAGCTCTGTGACCTCGAACAAAGCACTTTGCTGCCCTGAGGCTTAGTTTCCCCGTCTCTAAAGTGGGGTTAATACTCCTTGTCTTATTGCTAATTGCTTTCCTCACCTCCCTCCTCTCTCCTAGCCCCTCTGTCCCCTATGCCTGACACCCCACCTCCCCTCCGCCCCTTTCCTTACCAATATGGCTGTGAAGAGCAGCCTTGGCGGTCAAGGTAAATCGGGGCATGTTCATCCAACAAACATGAAGAGCTTCCTTTGTGCCTAGCTCTGGGTATACAAAGCACTTTGGAAGCACACTCCGGGTAAATAAGCAACACTCGAATGCAGCCTTGAATCAAGTCTTAAAGGCAAACTGTGCCCTGCGGGTGGGGTGAGGAGGATACTGGGGAGAAATCCAAGCCTGGGAACATGAACATGAGGCCTTGTGGGGGATGCCCCTGGGGCCACGCGGCCTCTCTCAGGAGAGGTAGTGGGATGGGCTATGGGAAAGGAGTTCACCCTGTCCAGCTTTGTCAGTGAGAAAAAGGGGTAGGGATGGGGAGGACAAGCATCACCCTGGCTGTGCTTTAAAAATTGATTTTTGCTGTCTCAGTTGTATTTCTTCAGCAAGCCCTCTCCATTTGTCAGCAGCCTAGGGCAAAGCCTAGTCGTTCCACCCGCCTTCCAGGTCTGATGGCCAATTCCAGGGTGCCTCAGAATCTGCTCCATTCATTGCCTTCTTGGCTCTATCCTTCCTTTACCCAAAATATAAATCAGTACGACAGAAGGTCATCTTCAAAGAGCAATCCCCAAAATGGCCAGTTCCCACCGAAGGCTCAAGTCCCTGTAGTGGCTGCTTTTGCCACTCAAACAGTGACTCTCCTCAAGCGGACACATCCATCAGTCTTGTCCTTACCTTTTTAGGTCCTGCTTGGTGAGTATGAGTGCATAGTTCAGCCCTGGGCATTCTAGGAATTGTTTCCCTTGTGTTTCATGGATCCCTGGCTCCCTACGCCATTCCTGGGGCTCCCAGGGTATCCTCTACTGCTTTCCTTGGGGGATTGGTGGGGTGGGTGAAGGGGAGAGGTGAAGACTCAGCATCACCTGAAGGAAGGCACTTGGCCCAGCAGCCCTGGGCTGCAGCTCTCAGAGTGAGCAGGCCCCTTCACCTGCACCTGGTGAATCAAAGGGGTCTGTCTTCCAGCCCAGGGCCGACTTTTCCAAGCACTCCACCATGGAGCCTCAATTCTAAACGACTACGGGATTGTGTCCCCTCCTCCCTTCTATCGCTTCCTCTTGGGCTCCTGAATGGCCCCTTCCCTCCCTGCTCTCAGGCAGCAGATTCCACCAGTCATCAGGCCAGCACTAGCTAAGATCTCCTATTATTGACCATGACATTGATTCTGACCTCCTGTGCGTTTGGAAGAGAAGGAAGGACAAAAGCAGGGACCGAGAAAGGAAGAAGAAAAAGAAAGAAAAGAGAGAGAGGATCATAGATCTGGAGGTGGAAGAGAGCTTAGAGACCATTTAGTCCAATCCTCCCATTTTACACATAAGGAAAGTGAGGGCAAGAATGGCGAAGGAATTCACCCAAGGTCCCACAGCTAGTAAGAAAAGTCTCAGAGCAAGCATGGGAAACCACATTGGTCTTGTGACTACTAGGTCAGTGCTCTTTCCATCATCCTGTGTGGAAGAATAGAGGGAGGAAGAAGAGAGGGAGAACAGACAAAGAAAAAGAGTCTAGTAAAAAAGGAAAGAAGGAAGAAAGGGAAGGAAAAGAGAAAGGAAATGAGAAGAGGAAAAAGGATGTGATAAACAAGAAAAAGAAAGAAAGAAACAACAGAGAAAGAAAGGACAGGGAGGAGGGAGAAAAGGTAGGAGAGAAAGAGGAGGGAAGAGAAAGGAAAAAAGAAATGAAGGAAAGAGAAAGGTGGAAGGAAAGCAGGAAGGGGAGGACAGAGAAAGAAGAAATCAGAAAAGGAATTATGGGAGAAATGGAAGGAGAGAGAGGAAAGAAAAATACAAAAATCAGATTGGTGAGAAAGGAAGAAAAGGGAGGTAGGAAAGAGTGGAAAGAGAGGGAAAAGGAAAGAATGAAAGATAGGAAGAAAAATAAAAGGGGGGAGGAAAAAGGGACCGGAGAGAAAGAAAGATCAAAAGAAAGGCAGGAAAGGAGGAAGAAAGGGAGGAAGGGTGAGAAGGAAGGAAGGGAAGTACAGAAGAAAGAGAAAAAAGGCGGGCCAGGGCAACAGCTGGGCGCCCTGGGAAGCGGCCGCACAAGTCCGGGGGGAAGGAGCGGGAGCCCTTTACCTCGTCTCAGGCTCTGCGATGAGCCCACCGGTAGGCTCCCCTTTCCCGTCTCCGCAGTCGCCCCGACTTTCTCCTCTCCGCGGGTGGCTCAGTCTCAGCACACGCACCCACGGGGCAGGTACCCAGGCTGTGGCTGGCGCTCCTGCGTCGCTCTGGCCTCCCTCCACGCCACCTCCCACCCTAGGGTGCCAGGATAGAGGGAGGCACCCAGGCCAAAGCAAAGGGGCGGCCCCTGGCCCTCCCCTGGGGCCTGGCACCCGGAAAAGAGAGAAAGAGCTCAGAGTAAGCAGAGGCAGCCAAGTCACCTGCTAGTAACTGCAGAGGGCAGACGGCCAGGGCAGTAGTCTCTGACTTTCTCTCTCCTCCTCTTTCCCTCCCCCATCTATCTCTCTGCTTTTAGTCGTTACGGTGTCTCTCTCTGTATCTCTTTGTCTCCATCTCCACCTTTTTCCTTCTCTCTCGATCGTGCTGTAACACTGACCTCGCCCCCTCGCCCCAGTCTCTCTCTGTGTCTGTCTCTGATATTGTCTCGGTTTCTCTCTTCATTTTCTCTATGTGTCCCTCTTTTCTGGCTCTGGTTTTTCCACCTTTTGTTTCTCTCTCTCTCTCTCTCTCTCTCTCTCTCTCTCTCTCTCTCTCTCTCTCTCTCTCTTTTTCTTTCTCTCAGGCCCTGGGTTTGTAAAAGGTCACGCTTGCCTCGAAGGCACAAATGATGTGCCGAATGGGTGTAACCTCCCAGAGCTCCAAGGTGACATCTGCAGCCCAGGGCTCACGCTTAGAAATCAATCCTTTCCCCCCTAGGAGCAGAGCTTTAGAAACTTGAGGTCCAGCAGAAGGAAACAATAAAATAGAACAGGGAGTAAGTAGCAGAGGAGAGACTTGAACACAGGACTTGGGACTCTTTCCACTGAGCCTTCCCCACACTCTTCCACATCAGTGACTTCCCTTTAAGATCAGCTCGAAGTTATCCTGCAGCCATTATGTTTGGCCATGGACATCTGCATGCGAGACATGTCTCCCCCATTAGAATGTGAGCTCCTTGAGAGCAGGGACCATGTTTCTGCCTCTTTGTACCCCCAGCCCTTAGCCCAGTCTCTGGCACACAGCAGGTGTTCAACAATTAATGACTGTACCTCAATCATGCTGGTTCATGTTAATCCCTGTTAATATGGTAATAGGTGAAAATCCCAAGCTTGGGACTTCCAGGAGAAAGAAGCCTTTTGGCATCCCCAAAGTTTTGTCCAATTCTTCACGTTAGGAGTGTGGAGTGCAGTGACATTCACCAGGATCCCTGGGGAGCTGCCTCTGGCTCCCTCCAGAGTTTGGGGGTATGGCTCAGTTGGGTGTCTTGTGGCCATAGGTGGCTAAATGTGAATGACTCTGGCAAAAGCTTCCTTGTCCAGCTTAATGTTACAAAAAATAAATTCGCATTTTTCAAATGATGAATCAGACAAACACCAACAAACATGAGTATTCCAAAACACTAAAAACAGAAAACCACCAATGTCTACTATGTACAGCTATAGTTTTAAAAAAGTGTGTATTTAATTTACAATGGTAGGTCCAACATTGCCCTGCTTGTCGACTTCCTTCTTCTCCCTTCTGGACCATTTTTCTTCAGTGTTTCATTGATATTCATTTCTTTCTGCTCAGTTTAAAATTAAACTACTAGCAGTTTGTCTACAGTTGTGAAACAAATTTTAGGAGGAAAAAAGTACACAGCAGAGTGACAAAATTCCTAGTTATTTTGTGGTAAGGTTAATTAAAGCAAATTTAGAACCAAATAACAGCTGACATTTCTGTAACGTTTAAGATTTACAAGGCTGTTTATCTATATTAGCTCATTTGATTCTTACAGCAGTGTGGGGAGGGATAAATTCTTTTGTTATCCCTATTTTACAGAGGGGCAAAACTGAGGCTTAAAGATGTGAAGTGACTAGCAAGTCACAGGTCAGGAAGCTAGTAAGTCTGAGGCAGGATTCAAACGTGGGTCCAGTTCTATCCCTGCCTCTTATTACCCATCAGCATGTCACTTAAAAGTTTCTCTGGGCCTTAATTTCCTGCTCTGTACAATGAGGAAGGGGTGTGGCTACATTGGCTGTAAAGTCCCTTCCCGTGCTAAATCTTTGAACATTTAAGGATATGAGGCAGGATTCCAACCAAAGCTTTCCTGTTGCATCCCTCTCACCACTGCACCACACTGCCCCTGATTCGCCCCTCTGACCCTGCACCACACTGCCCCTGATTAGCCCCTCTGACCCTGCACCACACTGCCCCTGATTAGCCCCTCTGACCCTGCACCACACTGCCCCTGATTAGCCTCTCTGACTCTGTACCACACTGCCCTGAGTAGCTCCTGTAGTTCAGGGTTTCATCTTACCTGGACTATTGTAACAGCTTCCTGGTGGGGAATCCTAGGAGTCTCCAGAAATCTCAAAATGGGAGGTACACAAGACATCTTGAACACATCGAATGCAGCCTTGTTACGTCAAGCCCAGGCGACAGCAGGCTCCAAACTGACCTCCTTGTCCCAAATTTCAACCCTTTAAATCTATCCTACCAGGCTTACCTTTCAAAGGAAAAAAAATAGCTCTTCCACCATTCCATTATTCCTTTGCTCAACAATCTACCGTAACTCCCCACTGCCCACTGGAACAAAGCTGACCTGTAAGCTCTTGCACTATCTGGCCCCTACCTACTTAGCCAACGTAACTTCTCCCTGTCCCCAGCACACACTTCCAGTGAAGGCAGCTCTTCTGCTTCTGGATGAGCATCAGACGTTTTGTCTGCTGGCCCCATGCAGTAGTACTAGAGATGAGCAGTTCATACCTTGTCATTGAATGCCGTGTCTCCTCTTTCTAACCCATCTGTCACAAAGCTTCCCGAATGATCTTTCTTAGGGCCAAGCCTGACTCCTGATCAAAAACCTTCTAGGGTGCCCTATGACTTCCAGGATAAGACCTAAATTCCTTAACCTGGTATTTATAGCCCTACATGATCTGCTTCCAATCTACCTTTCTGGCCTTACCTCTCCTTCCTCCCTTCCCTGAACTTTAAAGAGCACTGCGGGTAGAGTCAAAAAGTTGTTAAATCATTTCAGTTGTGTCTGACTCTCCATGACCACATTTGGGCTTTCTTGGCAGAGATGCTGGAGTAGTTTGCCATTTCTTTCTCCAGCTCATTTTACAGATATGAAAACTGAGGCAGACAAGGTTAAGTAACTTGCCCAGGGTCACACAGCTAGCAAGTGTCTGAGGCTGGATTTGAACTCAGAATCTCTTGACTCCAAGGTGGGTGCTCTATTCATTGTACCACTTAGCTGCCCACTAGAGTCAGAAAAAGCTGTGTTTAAATCCTGTCTCAGACACTTACTAGTTATGTGACCCTGGGCAAGTCACTTAACCCTGCCTGCCTCAGTTTCCTCATCTGTAAAATGAGCTGGAGAAGGAAATGGCAAGCCACTCCAGTATCTCTGCCAAGAAAACCCCAAATGGGGTCACGGAGAGTTGGATATGACTATAAATGACTGAATGAAAACAAAAACTGCCTAGGGAGTTTTCTCTGGCTCTCCAACAGCTAGGTAATGCAGTGGGGGGAGGGGGGAGTGCAGGGCCTTGAGTCAAAAGATCTGAGTTCCAATTCTGTTTCAGCCCTTCCTAGTTGTGCAACCCTGGGCAGGCTGCTTAACTTCTCTGTGCCTCAGTTTCTTCATCTGTAAAGTGAGGAGGTTGGTACCAGGAGGAGGTAACAGTCTATAATCTATACTTTCATTATACTTATATGCATAGCTTATCCCCCCAGAGTAGTGTTCTATCTCCCTTGAAGACAGGGACTGTAATTTTTTTTAATCTTTGCTTCAGCACAATGCTTAGCACATAGCCGGTGCTTAATCATTCAATTAAATTTAATTCAGCTTGTAGTTATTAGGCACCTACTAGGTTTTGGCCCTGTGCCCAGAACTGAAGAAATGCAGAGAAAAATTAATGAGTTCCTGCCCTCAAGAAGCTTGCATTCTATTTCAGAAGGCAAACAACTTGCCCTCAGATACCAAATACATAAAAAAGTTAAATGCCAGCAATACCTGTGGAGGGATGATAATATCATGGCTGACATTTGTATATCACTTTCATATTTACTAAGTGTTTTACATACATTCACTCATTTGAGTCTTGCTACAGCCTTGGGAGGCAGGTGCTATTATCTCCATTTTACAGATGAGAAAACTGAGGTTCAGAGAAGTCAATGGATTTGTCCAAGGTCACACAGCCATGTAGTCTCTGAGATGGGATTTGAACTCAGAGTCCAGAATTTTAGCTGCCTCCAGGAGAGGGATCAGGAAAGGCCTCACAGAGCAGAAATTGTGTGGAACTGAAAGCTTGGGATGACCTTTGAGCTCCGAAGGCTGTAGAAGCAGAAAGCCACCAGTCCAGGGTTACTACTTCCTGCCCTTCTGGAGGGGCTGCTGGTCTCTGGACTACTTTGTTCTCTGTACCTGAAAACTGAAGGAAACCTATTGGGTTAGAGACTGACTCTCTCCCCAGGGTCATTGCCTGCAGCCTCTGTTGGGCAGCCCCTCCTCTGCACCTTCTGTGGTCTTGCGAACTTTGAGAGAGGTAAAATTACTTGTCCAGGGTCAGACAGCCACTGCATATGAACCCAAGACTTCCTGACCCCAAGATCAGCTCTTCAGCCTCCACACCGTGCTGCCTCTATAAATAGTTATCTATCTGAGAATAGAGAAAATCTAGCTTCCTCTCACCATTCTTCGGACTTTTAATTGTCGCTCAGTAGGAAGAGCTGCTCAGCAATGTTTTGTCAGATGGCTCCAGGCTAGTTAATTGGGCCATTCAGAAATCATCTGACTTCATTTTCTTTCCAGATTTTTGTGGTTTTTAAAAAAAGACTTGGTTATTTTCCAAATAGCCCTGGCCCTAAAATTGCCAGGAAACCTTCCCCCAACTTCAGATCCGAGCCCTTTGGAGCTCTCCTCCCTGGATTCTGATGGGAGCCTGTACGGTTCTGTGGATAGAGGAGTTGAGGTGTGCGGGGCCCCTTCTAGAGACAGGGCACTCTGAGAAGAGTCTTATCTCTCCTCGAAATAAGGTCTTAGAATGCTCATTGCTGGAAGGGAGGAAGGGACAGCAAAGAGTGACTGATTGAGAGAATCAAAAAACATTCTTGGTTGTCCCCAACCGTCCTGGCTGCTGGCTTCATCCCAGTTTGGTTTTTCTCACTTGATTTTCTTTCCATTTTC